TGGCGCCCCCCCGCCCTTCGGCCCCGTCGCACCGCCCCGCACGGCCCTGGGCTTTTAGGCCAGCGGCGAGGAAGGGCGAGAAAGCGGGTGGGGAGGAGACCAAGGACAAGGTGTGAAGGAGTTAGAACCAGGCGAGAGGAAGGGGACCGAGGAATGGCCGGCCCCGGGCCAAAGCGATCTAGAACCTCACCAGGCAAAGGCTCCGGTCCAAACTCACCGCGGGTCCTGAACGGCTCCCAGTTTACGCGCTTGGCCGGCTCGGGATGTCCAGTTCCCTGCAGGTCCACGGCCACACAGGACGCGAGGCGGGCAGGACAGAGCGAGGGCTATGGGGGAACGTTCGGATCTGCTTGGGGGCCCAGGGGACTTCGTGGGGTCCTGGGAGGGACCTCGAAAGAGGAGTCAGGATGGCCGAAAAGAAGCTGAGGTTGACCGGTGGAAGATCGGGCGGCGCAAAGGGAAGGCGAATGGACAGGCCGGAGAGCCCCGAATTCCTCATGGATGCGCATTCCCTGGTCCCCGACCGGCCGCCAAGCCATGGCCGGGCAGACTCGTTCCTAGGAGCCTCCTAGTGTGAAGTTTAGCACCTCCGGAGGCCGGCAAGACGGCGCGTTCTGGTGTGCCGCTCCAGCGTCCGGCTGGGGGAGCTGCTGCGCCCCACGCGGCCTCCCGAGGGCCGGAGAGCCCCGAATTCCTCATGGATGCGCATTCCCTGGTCCCCGACCGGCCGCCAAGCCATGGCCGGGCAGACTCGTTCCTAGGAGCCTCCTAGTGTGAAGTTTAGCACCTCCGGAGGCCGGCAAGACGGCGCGTTCTGGTGTGCCGCTCCAGCGTCCGGCTGGGGGAGCTGCTGCGCCCCACGCGGCCTCCCGAGGGCCGAGGGACAGTGGTGCGTCCCGCCCCAGCCCAAGGCCCTTGAAGGACAGGGAACAGGAAGCTTGCGCAATCGCTTGGCTCAGCGTCCACGGAGAAAGAAAAAGCTCAACAGCCAAGCAAGAGTGGAGCAAGCGAGGAGGGCGGGCAAAGAGCCATCTGGGTCTCCGTTCCTGCACTGCCAGACGTCCCAGTCCCGGGTGGGGACTGCACTGGGCCTCAGGGAGAGCCGGGAGGGACGAAGTGCAGAAGCGAGTCCCAAAGCCCAGTCCTCCAGAGAACCCAGGAGCAGCCTGCAGAAGTGTGATGTTGAACATACACGGCGGGTGACTCTACCGTGTCACCTCTGGCTCGCAGCTCCTGCAGCCGCCTCTGCTCCCACTGTCCAGCAGCGGCTGTCGAAGATCTGCGTGGCTTCCCTTAGAGGAATGCTGGGCTGGAATCAGCTTTTGGCTGCAGCAGAAAGGGGCTTGTTGTTCAGCAACTGGTTTTTGAGCTTGAGGGGCAAACCTAGAACTTCAAGAAGGGGAGAGGGTGGCAAGGCAGGCTGCAGCCCCCCCCCGACCTTGGGGCTTGTAGAGAGGGAGTCAAGAAAAGGGTTTTCTCTTATCTGGCTTTTTTGGACACTTGCCCGGAGAAAACCTCTGGCGTGGGAAGCCACAGTCACGCGTCCACCCCAGCCATTCAGGCCGTCCACACTGCGGGTCAGTCGCGAGGTCTGCAGCGACCTAATCTGGCCAGTCCCCTTGTCCGGGAAGAGGCTGAGCTTTCCGGCACTCTGCCTGCCCCCTTAACTCGAAAATCCCCCGGAAAATCTATTTGCTAAGGGTGTTTCCGCGGCGTCCAGGTCGGGTGTGCCAGGGGAAGGCGAGCGGCTGCTGCAGCCTCCCCGCCGCCAGGGGCATCGGCCTG